TGTAAGAGTGTATTAAATTAACCATTTGGTTTAAATCCGAAACCGTTACTGACAGTTTACCGTGTGGAGGAAGAGTGTACCGAGTTGGTTACCCGCGGCCGGTGGAGTTCGTTTTCTGGATCAGCCGGTATAAGCATCGCTAATTTGGCGAAAGCTGCGCAGAGGCGGAAAGCGGAGAGCCTAGACTTGTGCAAGTGCGTTTGATGATGACCCCCTGCGACCGAACCATGTCGCCGTTGCAATTCATGAAATTTGGCCCGCGTTGGTCGTTAACGGGAATGCCGAGGGCCTTCTCAGACGGCCGCAGGAGAGTTATGATGGTTGTGACTCGCTTCCACGCCTTTGCTAAACCCTAGCCTCTTCTCTCTCTTTCTGTTTCTCGCTTGCAAGCGAATCAATTCTACTCTCTTTCGAGCTCCGATTTTATTCCCCCTTGCTGCGTTTTTGTTACATTTTATTGCGTTGAATCGCCTGCATTCTGAGTTGCCGACTCTACTCTTGATTCCGTGAGATCCTCGTCTTATGTGATGCAATTTAGGACATGTTTTTTTTCAGCGGATTGAAGTGTTGTCGGGGATCTAATGATCGCATGGCGGTACGCCCGTGTTAAGCAGTGGTGGTCTGCGAAGAATTTTTGAAAGGAGTGTTAAGAGGCGAGGAGAGGAATCATTTGAGGGTGTGAGAGATTGTGAGGGAGAGGAGAGGGGGAAGAAGAGGCTCGAGATGGATTAGTCTTGCACCTTGCTGGTGAATTTCGTTAAGTGGACGGCGGCACTGGTGCACATGATCAAGGAGGAATTGAAAGGGTATGATATGGAGTTGAAAGTGAACTCGATAAAGGAGGCAGTGATGCTCCTTCTGAATAGTAAAGCTCTGCCTGCTCTGCTGATCACTATTGTGAGATTTGTGTTGCGTTCGGAGGATCACACGATTCAGAAGCCATTGCTTTCGTACCTGAGGGTCATAGACGATACCGGTGCCAAAAGCAAGTTCCTCCCGGAAACGATTCTTATTTGTGAGAACCTCTGAAATAACTTGCAATACCCGAATTAGTACGTACGTTGTGTGGCGTTGCGTTTTCTTGCCAGTTTGGAAGAGGCTTAGCTGATCGAAGCTTTGATTCCGTCCATTTTGACCCACTAGGAGCATCGCCATGCATTTGTGAAGAAGAATGTTATTTTGGCTATGACAGCGATCTATATCCTCCCTTCAGCAGAGAAACTCCTTCTCGATGCGCCGGAAATGATCGTAAGATTGCTTGCTAGTGAGCTGGATCAGTTAGCCTGTCGTAACGCCTTTTCGGGTAAGGGGGCGTATACTTCAAATGGTGCGGTGCGAACCCAGTTGAGAAAGGTAAATGCCTCAAGTTCGTGATTATGTTGCCATCTTCCACATCTGCCGCTGTCACATATCATTGTGCAGGTGCTCTGGTGTCGTTATCCTTCCACTGCAAGAGGAGCTGCTGTAAATTGCTTCTGCCAGCTCCTGCTTTCACAGAGTGATTACCATGTCTAGCCCAAATCTCGACTTTCGGTGAATGACACTTAACATTATTCTAGATCTAATTACGTCGCGAAACTTTGACGAAATCGTGATGAACCCCAAGAAAGAGGTCGTGAAGAAACACACCATTGCAACTGAGATGTGTGGAAAGTACATGTGAATGCTTGTGCAAGCCATTCACGGCTGTGCCCTTATGTTCCCAGAGGTGACAAGTTCAGTTTTGCATCTCCTTGTGGACTTTCTGATTCGATCGTTGCTTCGGCTTTTGATGTGGTGTTTTTTGTGAGAGAAACCTCCGAGACAAACCCAAAGCTTAGAGTACCAGGCATTTTCCGGCTTTTTAGACACATTTGATCAGATTAGGTGATCTAGTGTGTGCACATGTGCACTGTGGATTATTGGCGAATACTACCTTTTTTTTTTCTTTTTTTTTTTTTTTTGCAGGAAATCGAAAGTGGCATTGCAGTGATCAAACAATCTTTAGGAGGACTGTCTCTTTATTTTAGCAGCCGATGAAAGTGATGGAAATGTAGCGGGTGACAACAAATCATCCTCTAGCAACAAGACACCTGCTCCAATCAGTGTGTTTAGCGCTCCTTCAAAAAGGCCTCCCGTTTTGCCAGATGGAACATATGCTACACAAAATGTTGTGGTTGAGACTGCAGTTTTCTTATCTGGGTCTTCCGCCACTTCCAATCGTGCTGCAAATCTAAGAGCCATTCTCGTAACGGGAGACTTTTTCTTGGGAGCTGTGGTTTCTGCTACCCTGAAAACCTGTCATGCACTTAGAAGAGATTCAATCGTTTGCAATAGGCTTGAACAAGAGTGAGGCTGATATTCTGCTGATATTGATATCGATGCTAAGTCTTGGTGAATCATTTGTTCTGCCCCACCCCATAGGCAGGGGGTCTGCTGATGGTATTTCTCTTTGCATTAGACTTCTCGTCAGTCCAGATGTTGTTACACGAACTGTGTGGCTGGAAGTTTTCTATGATAACTTCGTAGTTATGCTCAAGGAGAAACAGGATCGTGAGAATGAGGACTTGAAAGTAAACGCTATGGCATCGCACTCACAGCCGAATGATCTTATTGATCTCTACCATCTCAAAAGCAGAATGTTTAGCTGCACACGCAGATGTGCTATAGGAACTCTTTTGGATAATGTAAGGCCTGAAGTTTATTTGAGCCACTCGAGCTTATCTTGGACTATTGTGAAGGTTGCAGCATGGAACATTGAGGTCTTGGTTTGGTGTCCGAGTTTCCTCTCTCTTCTCTGTGTTACGGTATGAGCCAGTTGGAGCTCGAGGATAAAGTTCAGACAGTTTTGAAGCGTGCAACGGAAGAAATTAGTAAAGATCGGGAGATTCACATGAACCGGAACAGAGTATTGCAGCTCACAGATTTCAGCGATCCAGTTCACGCACATGCGACTAATTAACATTATGATTTTATGCTAGATGTGACAGTTGTGAATCGCACTTCTGAGATATCTGTGCTTAGAGTTGGCAACTACGGGCGATCTGAAGTTTAGTGGAGTGCCCATAGAATTATTCTTTGGCTCCCCAAACCAGCAAGCGGATCAAGGCCAACATCTTGGTGTCTTCAACAGTTACAGGAGTTATTATTGGCAGTATCGTGCACGAGACTGCGTGTGTGCTGGATCGTAATGTCGTCGTATTGAATAACATACACATTAATATCATGTATTGCATTTCTTCAGCGTCTTGTGCAGACGTTGTATTCAGAAATATGAGGGCGAATCCGAGTGGGAAAATACGGTAAGTTCATATTACACCTTATCATGATGCTATCCAATTTCAGCCATTTTCTTTCACTTCATGAAAAAGTCGACGTCGATTTTGCAGGACAGTTTTTGCTGGATTGCTGGATGTTTTTATGAAACTTCATGTACTTCAGTTTGTCGTACTAATTTATTGTCCTCAAGCGGTGTGCAACTTATCCAAGGTTCTCGTCGGATCCCATTTAGTAGCATTTTATACTCTCGATCATGACGCGAGAATTAAATTCTGATTCGATTTCGTCGTAGATTGCTATCAATAATAGTCTTCAAGATGCATACGAATTTTTGGACCATATCGTTGCGTCAACAATTCTGAAATGTCTTACCCCTGGGTAAACGTTATTTACAGCTTATATATCCCGAGAAGTTTTTCTTGTCGCAGCAAGTGAAACACATCTTTTTACATCTGCATCTAGAACTTTGAACTTTGAATAGTTTTGTAATATATATATATATATATATATATATATATATATGTGTGTGTGTGTGTGTGTAGATAGAGACGGGAAATTCACGTCATGGTTAACAATGTCATGATTTGTCATCATGATCTGGTCTGCATTGGAAGGAGATTGCGTCTTTCTTTCTGCTAATCTCTACACGAAGTGTTATTTTGAGAAGATACCTTTGATAATGTCAGCGTTGAGAAACAACCGGAAGGTAAGCTAGGCGGTAACATTCGAATCAGGAGTAAGACGCAGGGGATTGGTTTGAGTCTAGAGGACTACGAAGTTTTGTAAGAAAAGAGCTAGGTTTTGCTACCCTTGACAGTTCCTACATGCTATTCAGTCCTTTCCCACTACGCTCTGTTTTCAAGCTTACCAGGTGGGAAATTCACTAATATTTAGGCATTATCTTCAAATTTTGATCTAACAGCATGTGTACAAGAACGATTTTTTTCTTAGCGGCTTTACCCCTGTCAAGCCCTCAGTTACAGAAAGCTCAGATTCCTTTCAAAAACAATCCTCGGACCTTCTGGATTTATTTTAGTTTCTCCATTTTCTGTGTGGTTTTCCAACTTGCCCAGCATTCTAGTTGAAATATATATTTTTGGTATCCTTTGGAAAAGAATCGTCAAGCTGAAACTGACAGTTGGACAAAGTATATAAACCTCCCAGTGTCTGAGCATTCGGATGCGAATGACCACCCAAACAGCAGCCAGACACTTTATCTCATACCCATTTTTGACGCATCCCCCTCTCGGATCTTTAAGATCCCCATGCATTTCCTCCATCTGAAAAAATCTCTACTTTCAGTCTGATTCGAGATGGGGGACTAAATTAATCGTTCTCTTGCAACAGTGAGGGGCCACTTGACATTGGACATCAGGATGTGAGGTTGAGCAAATTAAGGTGAGCAAATTCGGGAGTCTTATGGCCGAAAAGAGCCGACTGTGATGTACCTCAAGAGGATCCCAAGAGCTGGCTCTTCGGAAACAAAATGGTACCCTAGTGTCCATCCATTTTCATCCTCTAGGTAGCTTAAATTGTTTTATGTTTGCGCACACAAGTATTATATCTCTAAAGCTTCATGTTCTCATGGATGAAAGGTCTCAGTAGTCTTCAACGTCTGAATGCATTTGAGATTAGAGAAACTGATAGAGAAGAAACGATAAAGCTCATCTGTGTATACGTTCATCTATAACAGATGAAGGAGTTGAAAGGGGGGGGGTCCCGCGGGCACAGGGGAGCACGGGGAAGGGGCCTGGGTTGGAGCCCTAACGGGGTGCGGTGGGCGAATGCTTCTTGAACGCAGGCCCTACTCGGCATTTCTCCTTTTTTGCCGTTGTCTGGGGTCCTTCAATTTGCTCTTTTCCTCCACTTAGGGTTCTGTCTTCGCCTCGACGATGGCCATGCTGCTGCCGCCACTTTGCCAACCCCGCAGCATGAGTTGTGCGTCTTTCTCGTAGTCTGATTTTGCTATTGCTCTGCCTGAACACTCCGTTTCTCCTTCCCCTTCAGCCATTCGTGGAGCTACATTCCCTCCCACTGGATATCCTTCTTCTTGACCGTGGTGCGCGTTGTGGTCGCTGGGCGCCAGACGACGGGGTCCGGGCGGGGGCCAGGTATGGCAGTGGTCTCAGACACGGCCCCTGCGCCCTCTGCCGCCGCCGCCGCCGCGCAGCCTTCGCCAGCCAGCAATGCTGCTGCCGGTGGCACTAAGAGTGCGTGGTCGCAGGTTGTGCGCGGCGAGGTGTCTCCCGTGGCACCAGCAGAAGCCAAGTCCAAAGGTGGAAGCAGAAGTCATGCAGCCCCTGCAGTGACAGAGTCGAGCTCTGTTGTAGCATCGAAGCATAATTCTGGAATATCTGGGGGTGGAGGGAAATCCTTAGGGGAGCAATCGGCTGCACCTGTTATAGCAGCTACAGGGATCTTGAAATTATCGGAGGATAATGCATCTTCCAGAATTGAGGAAAGTCCTGAAGGAGAGCAGCAGCAGCCTGAGGTTGAGATTTTAAGAGGCGAGTTAGGGCAAAATTCTGTGTCAATGGCTGCAAGTGGCGGCAGCAGTGGTGGTGATGTCGTGAAGCCTGCCAAACCCGCTTGGAAGAGCACCAGTAGTACTCTTGGTAAAACCCCTGCAACAGGTCCTGTGATGGGCGCGGTAACTTGGCCGACATTAGGTGATGCACGCCATTCTAAGACGGCTCCGCCCGATCAATCCTCAAACAATTCCAGTGCAGGGCTTACTCCTGTGAATCCCACCTCTCAACAGGTTTGCACATGGGCATGACGGACTGAAAACCCTTACTTGAGTTTCTGGAAAGCAGTCAGTAATTTTTTTGAATGAATGTCCGAGTTTGGGTGTTTCCCCGACCCGCACTTGGGAGGAGTGTCGTACACGGGCTGTTCGGTGTCATCCTTTTGTCGCAGGGGCCCTGTTAGTGTCTTACTTTGCAGGCAGTGCAGGTCTCTTCCGTCGTCTGGAATCAAAAGGGCACAAGCTTGTAGGGTTTTAGGAGAGACCACGTTTTGAGTGTACTTAGGGGGGATACAAGTTGCTTGATTATTTTAAATCTAGTAATATATGCCATCAGAGAAACGGCATGTCCCATTTGCTCCCTAATTTATGATCCTTTTGTAAGGAGATGATTTTGGTATGTCACACCTAACAACTCATCGAGTTTGAGTATAATGGCTCATTGTTTATTCTGCTACTCCATTGCCCAATGTTCAGTGGAGTTTTGGTGGATTCACACTGTGTAGGTTTGCTCTCTTGCAGACAATTTCAGCGGGTCGAAGGGGTCCAAATGTCAATTATGTGGATCAATCCTCCTCTCAGGGTATCAAGCCAAAGGGGAGTCGTAAAGCACATCATGCCGAGCACTCGCATAGAACTGGTTCAGGTACTCCTGGTTTGGCTTTGGATGTTGCTACGTCTGAAGATGCAAGTGCCACCTCGAATTTGGAGCCGTCAGCCCCGAAAAGTGGCAGTGAAGCTGGCTCTAAGCATGTGTCTGTGAACGGTGGTAGTAGCGAAAGGAATCGGGGCCAGTATTGGAGGGGACAGGACCACGGTGGTTTTGGTGCTGGTGCACGACCTAGATCAAGGGATCCTGTGCGGTCGAACAATCATGGGTGGAACAATCAACGGGGTTTTCGCATGAACAATGGACCCTCGGTGTCTCTTCGGGCTGGTTCAAGGAATTACAACAAGGTTATGTTCAACAATAACAATGTGTCGGAATTCGGAAACACACCAGGTTAGATTCTCTCTCTCTCTCTCTCTCTCTCTCTCTCTCTCTCTCTCTCTCTCTCGCTCTCTCTCTCTCTCTCTCTCTCTCTCTCTCTCTCTCTCTCTCTCTCTCTCTCTCTTTAATTCGTTAATTAATTATCATTCTTTACTTTGAGATGTCATATGACTTATATGCGTCAGTTTCTAGGAGAGGAAGCGCGCCTTTTCATTGAGGGTTATCAAATAGCTTTACTGACATTTTAGATGTCACGTGAAGTAGTGCATAGCTTTTGTACGAGCTATCTTCGTGAATACAAGTGTATCTGTACGGCTTTCTACACACTGTTTCACCGATGAATTTTTTGGTTGGTGTAATCTTGGATCATTTTGGTCTAACTTGTTTTCCTCTCGCAAGTGATGTCTTTTGCGTATTGACTTGTAAATTCTAATCATGGTGTGTTTTTTTTTTTTTTTTTTTTTTTAATCTCAACATGTCTTTCTGTTGGGATCTAGTTAGGACTGAATTTTTTGTAGATGGATCAATGTAAAGAGCTTCAGCAAATATAGTTATGTGCCAACAGGCGGTGCAAATACAGGTCATGGGTTTTTCCCTTCTGGAGCGTCTGGAGGTGGAGGCCCAGGTTCAAGCCCGCCCCTTCGTACCATGCTGGTGAAGCAAATCGAATATTACTTTAGGTGAGCTCGAAGGATTCCGCTCTCCCCTGATTTTGTAGATAGGCTAGTGGAAGCTGAGTGTCATCTATCTTAATTGTTACTGGCTTATTCTCTCCATTGGACCCATCCGTAATCTTGTTATCTACGGAATATGCTGATGTGACGCGTTCATGTTGACGGTGCAGTATGGACAATCTATGCAAAGATATATTTTTGCGTTCAAAAATGGACAGCAATGGCTTCATTCCTATTAGTATTATTGCGAGTTTTAATAGGGTGAGTTTTCTTTTGTTATATCAATTTCCTTCTTCCTGTTACTATTTTTCTGCTTTTTATCTCTATAGTTTTGATTAGGTCTTCAGTTACGGTGAATGTTCGTTTTCTGTATTTATTTAAGCAGGATTGCAGTTGGTGTTTGGAATTTTCTACTTTGTGAGCAGTAAATACTTATTTCCACATAATCTTACGGTTGCCTTAGGAACTTTTGTTATGGTTTGTGATAAGTGAATAGGTGCCGATTGTCAAATCTGTCGCGTTCTTGCGTCTTAAGTTTCTTTACGAAACGCTGTCGTGCGGTAATTACGACATGAAGGATGCTAGAAGCGGTTTGATGCATTGTATTAATATTTAATAGCACCTTGTTAATGGTTCACAGTTCACATCCTTAAAAACATTTCTGCTGGTAATAATCATCTTGAAAGAGACACTAGCACGTGCTTTTCTGGACAATAAGTCAGTATTAGTTTTCACTTTTAATATTTTCTCAATTAATTTCGTTTTACTTTTTGGTATGGTTTGTGTTTGGTTAATGAAGGAAATTACGAAGAAGTTGAATGATATTAATATTTGGTTCTTTCAGTTCTTCTGGACTTCTTCGAAGTTTGTTCTTATGCATTTGTGTCTCTTTTTTTTGCGATTATGATTTAATTGTTTCTTGACTTGGTGAGAAACTTAATTCTTTTCAGGTGCGACAACTCACAGAGGATTCTGCTCTCATTTTGGATGCACTTCAGGATTCTTCTTTGATTGAAGTTAAGGTAAGATTGGAATGTCATGCATATCTCTCTTCTTAAATTGCTCACTTTGTGCTGATTAGGTGGTCTTTATATTCCTACACGGTACGGATAGACACTTGGAGCTTATGATGATTTGTATTTTTACATGCAGGGTGACAAGTTGCGCAAACGCGATGATTGGGCTACTTGGTTGCTTCCTGTTTCGCCCCAGTTTACGTCTTCCTCTACTAGCTCAGCGAGCCCTGGGAAAGAGATTTCGAATGGTGAAACATCACAGGGAGTTTCTCTTGAAGCTGCAAGTAAGAGTGCTGCTGAAAATGATAGTGCTCCTGAAAGTAAGAAGGCTACTGAAAGTAAGAAGGCTACTGAAAGCAATAGTGCTACTGAAATTAGCAGTGCCGCTGAAAGTAAGAGTGCTGCTGTAGGCAATAGTGCCGCTGAAATTAAGATCACGGATGAAAGTTTGAATAGTGCTGCCCAAAGTAAGATCACGGATGAAAGCTTGGAGGCCAAGTCAGAACAGCTGGAGGAATTAGTGAAACAGCCGGAGACCTCAGCTCGTCATTCCGAGTCATCCGGCAAGTGTTCAAAAGGTGGAGCACCAGGGGAGTTGGTTATCAAAGGTGGGGTTAATTGCAGTCAGCTTCATCTGACTGATTGCTTCATTTTAGATTGTTAAAACAGTTGTATTATTTGTTGAATTTTTTTATTCGATAGTGCTTGTCGTACTCACATTTTAACGACATATGGTGATACAGATGCTCCGAAGTCATCCTCAGGCGCCGGAAGTAGTCAGTTGCCGGCCGAAGGAGTTGGAAGGGTCGGTGCCTTCTCTTCTCCGCCTGTTGGTCTTGCTGCGGTTATAGATGTTGGAGCTTCTGTAGATAACAATGTTGTGCACACGACTTCAGGAATTGGTCTGGGAGTATCTTCGAATGACCTGAAACAAGGTGGTGAAGAAAAGGATGCCAGTCGTCAACTGAAGTTGCACAAGACAGATTTGGAGGGACCTCCTGTGCAGAGCTCAATCGAAACTGATGGGCAGCTAGAAAATTCAGTATCGAAGGTAGATTCTGAGCATGTAGATCACTCAGGAGATTGGCTGGTTCACACCGGAAAACGTAGGGGTTCGAGTAACAAGCGACCGCCTACTTCACGGCTTGCTGAACACAAAACAGGAGGATTATCTGCTGCTTTTACTGCCAAGGAGAATACTGATGAGGATACCTTTCAACTTGACGAAGAGCTCGAGTCTTCAGATCGGCCAAATCTGAAGGACAATCAACCTGTATTTAAGAGGTCTATAATGATGTGTTTGATTTTTCCATTTGTATAGTTACTTCATGGAATCGAATCATATTCAGTATCATCCTTTGTTGTAGCGAAATCTTTTTCACTCTTTGTCCTTCGCTGGGTTTTGATTTGTTTGTTCTCTTATGATTGAGTTGCAAAATGATTCAGTGTGCAAGATGATGATGGGGACGATTCAGATATCAATGATCGTGATTTGCAACGACTCATCATTGTGACTCAGGTCTGTATCATAGTCAATGACAAGTTTCAAATCAGGATAGCTCCAAATCCCTCTTCAATCTTTCTTCAAATCTGCTAGGTCGTCTAGAGTGGGCTCTACTTTTATTCCTCTAGTAACTGAGCGTGAGATGTATATTTCTGAATTCAGTTAAGCAAGAAGGCGGCCAGAGGAGATCGTAAAGGTCCTGATGGACGCGATCATGGTCGTAAGTCCATATCAGATGACCTAGTTTCTGTTATCAATGACGGCCTATTTTTTTATGAGCAGGTAAAGTTTGTACAAGTGCATGAATTCGTGCAATCAACGAGAATTTTCCAACTGTGTTAGTTTTTACATAATAAAGTGAAGAGTGATATATTCAGGAAACATAACTACGTTTTGGAATGAATACATAAGTTTGTCTAATCTCAGGGCCGAACAGCATACTGTGTGGAGTAGTTGCATTCTTCAATTTGTTGTTATCAAGATCGACCGCATTTTATTGATGGAGATCTGGAAAGTTGTGTTCACCGTGCTTATAGTATGTCTTTGATTTTTCAGGTGTGCTTCAGGATTTTACTTAGATCTGCTTGTTTGATGAATTATTGTCTCATACCGTGTTGTGTAGGAGTTATTGTCAGGCAAGACAAAGCCACGTACAGCTGTGCAGCCTGTTAAAGTGGCAGTTAACGAATCTGGTAGACCTAGTAGTTTTGGAGAAACTTCAGGCCGTATTCATGGTAGCAGCGCGGGCAGCACTGGATCGGACGGACCCTTACGTCCACCCAGAGGACAGATGAGATCCGCCCGTGGTAGCTTCCAGCAACGTCTTTTCCCAAGTTCTCGATCTAGACTTACAGCTGAAAGTCCGCCTAGTGACTCTGTTGGTTTCTTCTTTGGCACGACTCCTGATAATCAAAGGTGGACTCGATGTTTTTATTGCATAATCTACACTGATTTTGATACTCGTATTTTTTTCTCTGTTAATTTGCATGGTGGTATGATGAATGTTTACCAATACACACACTTCTTTTGTAAGTGACGTGTATAGTAATGATATCTTAGCTAAATGTAAAATTCATTTTTTGCCTCACCACCGTTATACAACTAAGGTATCGGACTTACAGGTATTCTATTGATATTAGCGTTTTTCACTTTACATTTGGTGTTCCATCCTTTTACATACTTTATTGTAGCCTTCTGTCTTTCCTTCTGTCTTAGTCTTAAACAGACTCGTGCTTTTGGCTGCAGTGTATCATCATCGTACGGTTCAACTCGTATGGGATCATCACCTTATGGTACTTCCCCCGGCGGTGGTTTCATGCCAGGCTATAGCCCACCAGTGGGATCAATTCCGAAGTCCTTTCCCCATTTCCAGCACCCGAGTCACGCACTTCTTGAAGATAACGGCTTCAAGCAGCAAAAGTGCGTGTGTTACTTTTGACATGAGTTTGGTTTAGTATGGACTCATTTAATGACATGGGATGGGGAATATCTTACTGATACGTGTGCCTGAACGTTAAAATATGCAGTACGTGAATTGACTTTTATGACCACTGAGTTCGGAGAGCTTACTCTTTCGGATTCACGCAATAGATGTATTGATCAATTGATGCTAGTTTTTAGGTCTCTGTTTTATTCCTACCGACCACTTATACATATTAATTTCAGGATAAGCCTTATTGTGACTGCACATGTAATCATTCGTAACGAGAAATTTGCAGTTGACGCTCCAGCCGTTGTATATGTTTCACCCTTTGAGAATTTTTTTTTCATAAGCAGGTATGCGAAATACTACAAGCGATGCTTAGTGGAACGGAAACGAGTTGGTATTGGTTGTAGCGAGGCAAGGTTCTTCTCCTTGTATTAATATCTGTTGTGCTGTATATATATAAGCAGTTAAGATATTTATGCCCTAACTACTCTCTAAAATGCGCCATGTACTTGTAGCGGTGTATTTTGCATATTACAGCATTATGCTCCGTTTAATTTTTCTTTGAAATCAAAGTTTTAGTATTTGATTGTATAAATCGTTGTGCTGACACAAAAATCATCTCGTTACTGCAGGAAATGAACACTTTATTCAGGTTTTGGTCATACTTTTTACGGACGAACTTCAATACGTCCATGTATCAGGAGTTTAAAAAGCTCGCTGAGGAGGACGCTGCGGCCAAGTATAATTATGGAATGGAATGTTTGTTTAGGTTTTACAGGTAAACGACCATATCTTTCACGCCTTTGTTTAGCTGTCAATCTAACTATCATTACCAACTGTTGACGTGTTGGTGGATGCCTTGCTAGCTGCTGCATATGTGTTAAACTCATGTAGCACATTATGTGTCTGCTTTGGTTGTTATGGGGTTTTTGCAGCTATGGTCTAGAGCAGAGGTTCAAACAGGATATGTATGACGATTTTGAGAGGCTCACTCTGGATACATACAAGAAAGGCAACCTTTACGGCCTTGAGAAGTATTGGTATTTTCTACTGCCCAATTGGCTATCTTGACTTGCATATAGTTGACCTCTTCTCTTGGATCTTCATATCTTAATTCCAGATTTACGTGTATAATCTTAATTGGATATTTATATTAACCAAACTGTTGATTATTATAGGGCATTCCATTATTACCGTAAAGACAAAAGCAAGATGCCAATTCCCAAACACCCGGAGCTGGAGCGGCTACTTAACGAAGAATTCCGAACTATGGCTGATTTTCGCAAAGCAAAAGAAAAATTAGCTCAGGAGGTGAAAGAAAAAGAAAGTACATCCGTTGAGGGGTCATCTTCTGAGAAGAGCTCAAGTGTAGCGCCCATTCCATCGTAGCAGATGCGCTGAGGAGGTGCACTTCACTCATCTTCGCGTTGCTTAAATCTAGGTTTGGCTTGGCTTGCTGTTGATTAATTGCAAGTTGACATGCCTGAGCTCCTTCGGGATTACATTCCTGTCACTGCTATCATTCTAAAATCTATCCATCATGCTGGAAACCTCAACGTGTTGGTAATCAAAACTTCGAGCTGTGTAGGGGTTGCAAGCAACCCGGCTATTAGTGGTAGTTAGCTATTGAAACCATTGTTTAAGGCTAGTGGCATTGTGAAGAGGTTATGTTTTTTTTAGTAACATCCAAATTTTTGATCACTAAGAATCTTTGAGGTGCCCTTGGAAGGTTTGGTGCCATGTTGTTGCTACCTATGCAATCCTTGTTTGGTAAATATATACTGGCAGCTTCATTCTGATGCTGCGACGCTTATCTCCTGGATACCTTTTTAACCGTGACATTCCAATTGAGCATCTTACCTTATGGATGAATTGCTGTAAGTAGATATTTACATTGGCGGGAATCCTATACATCTTACACTAGGGATGTATTGCTGTATATTTACATTGGCAGGGATGAACCAAGTAACCATATTCGCTCAATGCCCAATGCACTCCTCATTCTGTTCTAAATATGTACGTGTTCTGTGCGCCAACTTTAATGCACGATTAGTACTGTGAGTTGTGGCGGGGTCTTACATCGTCGTCTAATTTTCCTTGATTGCATGAAGTGAGCATGCAAATATGATTCTTGGAGAGTACTGTGTATATCAATTATACTCATTTAAGAATGCCTGCCTGTTGCAATGCTGGAATCAGCATGTTGAAATGATGTTCAAGTGGACCTATTTCAATGTGTTAAGTGCATGCACATCTTTACATATGCGTCACGATGACTGTTTCTGCTTAGTTCCCACACGTTCTACACTGTCAGCTGAAAAAACTCCTCCCTTAGGGGTGCCAAAAGGCATTTAATTTACAGTGTGGTTGAATTCCAAATTTGCTAATCCCTTCAATTAGTGTTAGACAATGACTTTTTTACAGTCCTGCGGTTCACGTCTCTGTAGTATTAATTAATAAATAAATAAATAATAGTATACATTGTGAATTTTAATTAGGTTCACATTGCTATGATGCAAAATCAGGGTCTTGGTATGCTACTTACAGCACACGAACATGGATATATGCAATATGACCTTGTGACCAAAGGATTTAAATAATATTTAGTTAGTACAAATATTCTTAATTCTAGAATACTTAAACTACACAAAGCATAATAAAAATGTGTTTTATAATTGTTTAATTTGTAAATCAACACTCAATGTTTTTGTAGGATACAGAAATATTATCATAGTTGAAATAATGTTTTAAAAATTATTGAATATTTTTTTGTGCATTAAATTATTAATTGCAATCAAAACTATTAGCTAAAATATTCTTAGCCAATTAAATTACATGGCTTTAAAATAAAGAAAATGAAAAGTGATGAAATATGTTGAAAATGAAAATGAAAATTTTAAACAACTATTTAATGATTTGGACAAAATTATATTGGAAATTGTACAATAAAAAAAGTAACATATTTTATTCATAATATTACTAGTAAATAGTTTTAGAATTTGTCAATCTTTTAAACTTATCTTCCTAATACTAAAACATCTTAATTTGCAAAATGCTTGTGGTTGCTACCTTTTGCTCTTAACTTGTGGATTGCAATTGAAGATCCTCATTGGCCACTTGATTGGTCTGCTATTGAGCTTAGGTTTCAAACCTTTATATATTTGTTATTGTTCTAATGGCAAAGTGCCCTAAAAATACCACATTAAGGTGCAACAACTCATCTATGATATTTGAATATCAAAATCAAGTCCAAAATTTAGATCTATGATATTAAGGATATAACTAGTATTAATTTCTATATAGGATGAATTTGGTTTTGTGCTTCAATGAGATCATCTTGGTCGAATGAAGTTTTGGAACTGTTTATAACATGGTGCATGTGGCTACTTTGAGAGTTGATATCATGTGATAGTTCTAAGGTTGTAGCAAGCTAAAGGATTTTGGTACAAAAACATTCATATTTGAGAGCCACATGTTTCCATGCCAATGTAGAGGATGTCTTCATTGAAATTTGATTTGTCTTCAATATGATGACCATCCATCAATCTCACTCTTATTCTAAAGATGACCAAATCCAAGTAAACATAGTCTTACTTGGCCTCATTTATAGTAGCTTGCCTTGCTTCACAATTGCTAAAAGCTTTGTGTCTTTTGTTTGAATACATATCCATAAGCTGTGACATTGCTCTCATTAATGCAAGTAGCATCATCACCAAAATAATTTATGAAGATTTAGTTGCCTTGCTTGCTTCATCCAAAAAATAGGCAATTGTCTAAACTTGCTTAGATAAGGGAGTGATATGCTGAAGGTGGGGTGGATTCAAGCTACTAAGATATTGACCAAAGTGTTGGAGTATGTTTTATCAATAGACTTTAATTTGGAATTATTTAAACTTATCTTTTAGACTTCAAATTGGAAGTACTATAAAGTAGAAAATGGACAAAATTTGTTGACAAAGTTGAAAAGATCAACAATGTTGAAGTTGATATTGTCAAAAGAAAAGCCTATCAAATTGATGAGCCTTTGTAAAAATAAATAACCTTATAATTGACATTATGGAAAGACAAGAAAAAGTAATTGGCTTCTTTTCTTCTTGAAAGACTTAAAAGACTTAGTAGTATATCAATTGCATTTTTATGGAATTTTTTTTAGAGATTTTTTTAACATTAGACTAGAGTACAATCAATTAAGAAAAGACAAATCTACAACTAAGTTTAAAGTAAATTGGTTGAAGATAGAAGTTGCAAAGAAGGTATTTTGTAGATCAAATAAGTAATATTTTGAATAAGAAGTGTTAGATTTATCATAGTTGTTTCATACCAATGTTATCTCCTTATTTTATTATTCTTGAAAGAAGCACAAGCATTCTATTTTTATAGAATTGATGGATAAAGATCTTGCATCTTTAATCTGGAGTAGGTTTGATTATTTCAATCTTCTTGCTCCATTTTTCAATTTTTTAGCATTTGATATCATTCTTTTAGTTTGGAAGGCATACCTTTCTTTTATTTAATGATTATTGTACGTAGAGACTTAAAATTAAATAATCTTTTGGTGAAGGTAATAAGCATAGAAAATAGACATATAATACGAAATTGGCAAATTTTGGACTATCCAAAACCAAAGAAAGCAACTATTCTATTAAAACATTCAATACATGTAATATTACATATAAGGCTAAAAAAGAGATTAATCTCTATAAGTTAGAAAGTAGATTTAATGTAGTAGCAAGTATAAATATACAAAGTATCCAAAATCAAGCAATGTATATAATTTTTATACAATATATTAACTAAAAGAATTCTTTTTAAAGGCTTAAATCCAAGTAAAGAAAAGAAAAAGATAAAGTGAGATGATTATCTATTTCAATAAAATAATTATTCACTAATTTTGAAAATTTTAAAAATTTATTTTTAGTAATTTAATCTTAAAGACCATCCTATCTTTGATGAAGTTTGTAAGGTATTGAGGTGCACAAAGTACTTATTCATAATATAATATTCAACCTTGATATTATTTCCAAATGAATTAGATAATTTTACACGTTTGATTACTTTTAATATAACTAAGTATTTAAGCTTAATAATATAACTAAATAGATTAGACAATCTTACATATTTAACTACCTTAAGAATAAATGAGTTCTCAAACTTGATATTATTGCCAAATAGATTGAGAAACTTTATATTTTTAACTACTTTTAACATAAATGGGTGTTGAAGCTTGACATTATTATCAAATGAATTGAGAAACTTACATCTTTGACTACCTTAAGTATAAGTGAGTACTAGAAGTTGACATTATTGCCAAATGAATTGAGTAACCTCACATCTTTGAGAGCAATGAAGTAATATTATAATCATTGTAAATATTTTTAATTCTAACAAATACCATGAATGCACATAAAAAATAAGAATATATAAAGCAACACTATTTTGTTTAAACATCTCAACTATATAATATCAAATCATCTTATGGTAGTACATGGTAAAAAGACAATTGGCTTTGATATTTGAACTCAACATTGAACAAACATTATCAAGTCCAATTATTGCGTAAAAACAAAGTTATTAAAAACTCATGAAATCTTTTGTAATTAGAACTGATTTTATTTATGAAAATTTATAAATTAAATCTTCTTCTAATAGTTATAAATTTAAGATGAAATATGGCTTACATATCTCTAATAGAGTATAGTTGAGGCCATTTATAAATCAATTATTGTTGCAAATTTTTTCCATATCAGCCTTCAATCTTTATCTATGCAAAGTTAAAAAATTATTAGCTGGTCATAGTTAAAAAATCAAATAAGAAATATTCATAAAGATGCCATGGAGAGATACTATATATATATATATATATATATATATATTCTTAAAAATATAGCTTAATTAAGGATATGAAGGCAAGGTCAATAAAAATATAATATCTTAGCAACATTCTAAACTAATGTATAGGCTCTTGTCAAGGACATAAATATCATAGAATTAAAAAATTAATATTATTATGGATATTCAAGAAGAAGATTTTAGAAATAAAAATTTTCTAAAAGATTTTAAAAGATTTTAAAAATATTCTTACAAATTTTAGAAGATTTTAGAAGGACTAAAGAAGTTGTTTGAGAAATGTTTTAGTATTATTTTATCTTCAAGCAACATAAGAACTTTTCAAGAAGCTTCTTAAGATTGCTTCATTCTCAAGCTTCATAAGAACTTTTGGGAAGCTTCCTAATACATTGGATATATCAAAGTCAAGTTTGAGAAGATCCTCAGTTTCAACAATACATCTCTTGGAGTTTTAGCTCACTATTTTTAGTGTTGGTCTTGTATTCATTTGATTTAATCAACTTCTTGTTAGTTTTTTTGTTGAAACTCTTCCGTTCAACTTTTTGTGTAGTCTCTTATATAATATATTGTCCAAGAAAAGAATTCAATGAAAGCAAATAAATAAGTGAGACTATCTTATTTGTTTAATAGAAATAGAAATAGAAATAAAAATAGAAAAATATGTATATTAAAAGAAAAATTGGGATGACTATTGCCAAAAGACAAGAAAACTAGAGACTCTTGAAATTAGACTAAAATCAAGAAAAAGAGTTGACAAGAGTGAAAAAGGCTTCACTCTTGCCTCTATATATACTATCTACTTAAGATCTATGTGGTGACATTCTATAGGACCTCCAAAAACGTGTTGACTTTGCATGACACATATCTTAACTTGTAAGGCAAGTTTTCTATATGGACACTACATAATTAGCTTATTTTATAAGCTACCAATATATATATATATATATATATATATATATATATATATATATATAT